CTGTTCAGATACTGAAAATATCTGATATTATTTCCTACACAGCCAAGGACATGACTGAGATGGCTGATTCAAGTACCTATACCAGCATAAAGGTTTATGCAATGAAACATCGAACTATTTTTACTGAGGATGACAGTTTGCTACTTCAAAATATTTTAAGGAAGACAGGAGATGCTGCCTGCTGGGTTGTCAGCAATTTAAACGTCAGCATTAGGGCACCAATAGATGTGTCCGAACCCATTTGAAAGGCAGCAAAACAAAGTAAAAGTACTGATGTGCAAATTGTGGACTTGTGAGATGCAATAAAGTAACCCTCCTCATCAGACGTTATAGGCAAAAACAGAATCCCGAAATTCCAAGACGTCAAAATTGAAAATGTTGCAGCTTGGTTTGATTGAGCCTGTCCATGGTGCAAGTTACCGTACATGCCCGCTAGCACCGGCTTAAGCAGAACTCTACATATAACACATCATGTAACAAAGTTGTGCAGGTAAAATGTGCTTTTCATTTGTATTTAAAGAACTTGCATAGATCCATCATATTGCAGTAGTTAATAACATATCCTTAAGTCATAGCATAAAACTCAGATGACTAAATAATTTTCATTTATCATTATCATTCAAATTGAAATAGAGAAAATAAGAATCCAAAAAGAAAGTCCAACATCGCAAAATTACTATTAATGGAATAAAGTAATCAAACAGAGAAAACAGAATCCCCAAAGAAAGTTCAACACAACAAAATTGAAAATGTTGCAGGCTCGGCTTGATTGAGCCTGTTCATGGACGGTACTGGAAAGTGCAAGTTACCGTCCACGCCCCTAGCACCGGCTTAAGCAAAATTCAAGATTTAAACACGAAAATGGTGAAATTTTTAATTTAGAAACATTCGCAGATGTGTTCATACGGCGGTTATCATGGAACCTTCAATGTGACACAGTAGTGCCATTCCATGAAAAGCGGCGTATGGTCCCCAAGTAAAAGAATGCGTTTGTCCTAAACGAGAAAACAATGGGCGAAACTAAATAAAATAGAATTTTGAAAGGGGATCTGAGGTTATGAAGCCTGCATATCACAGATAAGACGTCAATAGACAAATTTAAAAAGCAGGCAACATATCCTAAGGGTGATTATACAGTATTCAAGTAGGAATACTGGAACCACCCAAGTTGAAATGGCCGAAAAGTAGAAACTAAAAGTACCACATAACATGTATACACAGCAATAATGGCGTGCTAAACGATCTTCAAGGATCGAAAATATAACATCATTGATTAAATGTACGGGGAGACTTTTTACAGCCGCCACACGGCACAAATAACACGGATGTGACAATAAAACAGAGATAAACAGAATCCCCAAAGAAAGTTCAACATAACATAAAGTTATTTAAGTAAAATAGATAAATAAAGAATCCCTAAAGAAAGCCCAACACGGCAAAATTGAAAATGTTGCAGGCTCGGTTTGATTGAGCCTGTTCATGGACGGTACTGGAAAGTGCAAGTTACCGTCCACGCCCCCTAGCACCGGCTTAAGCAGAATTCAACATTTAAACATGAAATGGTAGAATTTTGATTTTAAAAAACATCCGCAGATGTGTTCATACGGCGGTTATCATGGAACCTTCAATGTGACACTTCCGTGCCATTCCATGAAAAGCGGCGTATGGTCCCCAAGTGATAAAAAGCGTGTGCCCTAAACGAGAAAACAATGGGTGGAACTAAATAAAATAGAATTTTGAAAGGGGATCAGAGGTTATGAAGCCTGCGTATCACAGATAAGACGTCAAAAGACAAATTTAAAAAGCAGGCAACATATCCTAAGGGTGATTCAACATTATTCAAGTAGGAATATTGGAACCACCCAACTAGAAAATGCCAAAAAGTTGAAACTAAAAATACCACAAGCACAACAATAATGTCGTGCTGAACGATCTAAAGCTAGCACTGGTATTTTCAATCGTTGTCCAAAAATAAATAGTTCAGATGCAAACTAGAATAATGTGATATATGAGTAAAAAAATCTGGAAACAAAGTGATCCCTCGGAAGCATTAATCACAGCAAAATTACATAAGAATTTCAGACTTGGTAGACGAAATCAACATTGATATATATTGTGTTAGTATACACATATATAAAATAAGAAGTATATTTTATTTAAATTGTAATGATTAAAAGAATTACCAACTACATAAACCAGCGAATTGATAATTTACACATCAACAAACAATCCAATATATTTATATCACTTTTAGTAATAAGCTTGTCCGTCTCTGCCTTGTGCCTTGTCCTGTTTTTGTTTGGGGTCCGCCTGGGCTCCTTGCCACTGGTTCTTATTGCTGGGTCATGCGGGGGTTGCTTACTTTACTTCATTGTTGTTATATTTTCCGTACTTCCTTCAGTGTTGTTATATTTTTCTGGTCCTTCGGGATCATTGATGCCAGCACTATTAGGTGTTGAGAATTGAATACCGCTCAAGCCGGTGCTAGGGGCGTGAGGGATGTTGCACGTATTCATTATCCCTCGTGTACAGACTGAATCAAACTTAGTCTGCAATTCTCTTGTAATTGAGATGTTTTTGTTTTGGGGTTTACGTCACATCGACACAGTATAGGTCATATCGCGACGTTCCAGCTTTACTGGTGGAGGAAGACCTCAGGTGCCCTTCCGTGCATTATTTCAGGCACGAACGGGCACCTGAGTAGAACCACCGACGTTCCGTAAGCTAGCTGGATAGCTTCCTCACATGAAAGAATCCAAAGTCTCTGTCGGGACTCGAACCCACAGCGGTGAGGGGCAAGTGGTTTGAAGTCAACGACCTTAACCACTCGGCCACGGACGCCCCCACTAATTGAGATGTGATTAATGCTTTTGTTTCCAGATTGTCATGGTATAGGCTACTATGATGTTGCTAGACTCAATAATGCTGAGCCCATCAACAAGAAAATACCGGTTTTAAAAAGAGATTAGGACACTGATTTAAAATATGCCTGGTCGTTGACTTCAAACCACTTGCCCTTCACCGCTGTGGGTTAGAATCCCGATAGGGACTTTGGATTCTTTCATGTGAGGAAGCTATCTAGCTAGCTTACGGAACGTCGGTGGTTCTACTCAGGTGCCCGTTCGTGCCTGAAATAATGCACGGAAGGGCACCTGAGGTCTTCCTCCACCAGTCAAGCTGGAACGTCGCGATATGACCTATACTGTGTCGGTGTAACGTAAAACCCAATCAAACAAACATTAAATAAGCCTTACATGCATTTCTGGTAATTAACAAGCAAAACAGATTATTTTTAAACACAAAAGGAGGTAACACAGGTATAGGGCCGGTAAGTCTCGTTTACTTTCACTTTCGATTTACCACTTCCGGGTACATCAGCAGACTTATTTACCGTTACGCATATAGGTAACCCGAAAAACTCGAGAGATATAGAAGTTAAATTTGTTTCGGTCCTCTTCAGATTAGAAGGAATGGAAAGCACGGGTCAAAAAATGCAGGTAGGTCAATTATCTGACGGAAAAACGAGGGATTTATAGAGTTTAATAAAACTAGTTTATTTTCGGATAGTGACAATTGTTTCGGATGTTTTGTCAAGTTAGTGAATTCTAGTTCTTTAGCATTTAGTATTGTTTTAAAACTACTGATGTGAGAAATTTATTCAAACCATTTTAACTTATTGAAATAAACAATGGAGAAACACTTTAATTCTAGTGTATATTAAAGTTATACAAAATTTGGACATTGCACAGTAATTCGGATATTTCTTCCCTTCCATTTTATCAAGATTTCAATTACTTACATAAGTATAATAAAACCCAGGTCTCAAGTAAGAGTTTTGATAATTAAATAAAAATTAGATGGATAGATCATAGATTTGTGCAAAGTTTAATAGTATTGTTCCATTTCTAACTATGGAGAAAAGTATCAAGGCACTAACACTTCTTTTTTTTATTCTCTTCCTTTTTCAATTATATATACATGTTAATATGGTACCTAGCAAATTATGATTGAATTGAAAAATATAATATTTGAATAAAACATTTCAGATGTGTAGACAGGGAGGTATATGACAAGTATAGAATATACAGTTGTTCACTATGGACCATTAATCAACTGTTTGCACTGCCTATGATCCTGAAATATCTATACATCAAAGGTAAATACATGTAAAATAATTGATTAATTTTTAGTTGAGATCGGAAAGATAAACAATTATCAAAATATTTTAATAATTTTTGGATTTCACTGCATGATAATTGATAAGTAAATAAAACATGAAAAACAGTCATGTTTCACATTCAAGAAGATCAATATTTTTGACTGTTATATATTATGTGTTGTTGTTTATCTTTAATGTTTATTTACTTCAAATATGAAATTTTCTGTCAATCATGACCAGCTTATTAAGACTAATGTAAATATCATTTCTAGTGTTTTACTCAGTGAAATATATTCAGGTCTTACACTTGTAACAACATAGTTATTGATTTTTCATTCTGTAGATAAAAAGGAAAAAGATGAAGGAGAATTTGTCCATGAAGACCTTTATTGCAACTACCATCTTCCAGTTCCTTAATTTGAAAATGATATCAGAGAACACACAGTTACAGTGAAATATTAGTTTAATATAAGCCACTGAGAATAGTCAAATGTACTTTCCTGAAGAAGATGAATGACATCCAGCACAAAAATCTTAATGTAAAAGAGTATGATTTTATGTTCTTTGACACTATGATTCCATAATATTGTTAACTTGTTAATGTCACAATGATAGAAACAGAGTAAAATATCCACATTTCATTGCAGTTTTAAGTATCAAAACTACATGTAGATAGTTACTCTATATATACCAAAGTAGAAAACACACCCGAGATTAGGTATTTTCATGGAATCACAGTATAGTCATATGTCATTATGGACATTAAATGACTATGAAGTAAAGATGAAAAAGAAATAGCAAAAATATTATATATCATCTACTACTAATATTGTGAGGTAATCATTGATAAGCTCACAAATTTGCATGAAAAGCTTTGATATCAAGCTGACCATTTTTCAATTAGAATATGATTTATAACTCTATGATAATTTGTTCATGTTAATTTTCAAAGTCTTTACATTTGTAAAACGAAATATTCTTATTCTTGTATCAGTAGACATTCACAGTGTAAAGTTACACTGTCTAAATAACTAGTAATAATTTCCAGTGCTTTCCTGAAGTTTTTCTTCCATTGGAATATCAGTGTGATATATATGCTAAGCAGTGCACTATAAATTGTGTAAAAATAAAAGTTTATCAAACTTATGAACTGTTTTTGTTTCTACTATTTGGCATATATTTATAGCAGTACCTGATCATAAGGGTTCATCTGCAAAATAAGTGTCACTGTGTACTTTAATTCTCTAACAGCAATGGCTAGATTGCTTGAATATGCAGGCATTGACTATATTAAATACTATGCAAGTCATTTGAATTTTGTCTGTTCTGTTCTTGACAGCTCTTCAATGACTACATTTACACATATGTACATGGACAGAAGTTAAAAGCATTGTGTGTTTTTTTTTAAACATTGACATTTTTGAAACAGTCCCAATGGGTATATTAATGAATCAGTGATGTAATTGTTTTGTATCAAGTGCAAACCAAGTGTTGCATGTTTTGTATAGATAATTCACTTTTGGTCAAATGTAAACAGGTTCAATACATTATAAAACAGGTAATTTACAACCCAAAGAAGTATATGGTATGTAATAACTGCCCCTCTGATACTAAAATCTTTCAAGGAATGCAGAATTGCAAGTCTTCTCCAATTTTGTGATCAAGAGACAGAATTGGGCTTTCAAGGGCTAGCAAGCTAGTGTTTTGCTACAGAATACTCAACACAGATGAATTGCATTAATATTGTTTACTCTGGTATTATACAATGCAAATCATGGATTTTCTAAGAGCAGTGAAAGGCTATAACTGGAAGGAAATTTACACATCTTGCCTCAGAAACAAGTTTTTCTTTGAGATGATTTTTATGATATCTAAATGATGGTTATAAATTACATTTCTTTTACAATTGCAGTGATCATGGTGATAGTATGAAATGAAACTGAATCAAGATAGAAACATTTTCATGCAAATCATTTATCTTTTTACCATTCTTGTCACCTTACAAGTCTATTTAAAACAATTTTATCTTAACTGTTTTGAAACAACATGATGCCTGGTTGAAACTGTTTTGGACAGCCATTTGCAGAAGATAAATTATCTTTGGGTGATTAAGTTAATACAAAGTTACAAGTGACAGGTTATTTATTTTTTCACAAAGACAGGTTATTTATTTCTAATAAAGACAGATTCTTTGTTTAACATTTTTACACTGACATATATCTTTGAAATGTCTCCAACCTTAGTTTTTATTAGGATACAAACATTCAGTCAGACAGTTTACACAAGACATGGAGCTTTAGGAAGCTTTAATTCAGTCAAAATCTGTAATGGACTGCCATGTCTATACCACTATGTACTCCAAGACTGTGTATGGACATTTCCTTTCAACTATGTCTGGTGGTATCACTATTTGGTTTCTAATCTGATGGTGAATACTCCAAAATAAACCAAGAGCCATGACAAGTACTCAAGATCCAACCATGAAATCACATACCTGCATATAAAGAAAATTTATCATGAGTTGAAAGCAATTATAATTGGTCAGCTATAAATTTTAATCATTTTCATATTGTTTTGAATAGAAAATAATGTTGAAAAGGAAGAAACACTTCTTGGTGTCCTAGTTTTTGTAGATTTGCTTTGACAACTGATGTTTAAAAATGTAATAGTGACTAAGTTCTTTTAACTATTTACTGAACATGATTTAACTAAAAAATATGACCCACTTACTTGAGAAAAATACTTTAAACACCATTCTACCTGAATTAACTACATATGCCATACTGTTTGTTTATTTAGCTACACTGTAATTATTTACAAAAACGAGAACATTATGTTATACAAGAATATTTACTTTTCATTAATGTAGTTGTAGTAGCTTATATATTTCTTACCAAAACGATTTACAGCAGAGCATGCATGTGTATATACATCGGATACTGACGTCTTTCATCTCACCACTGTCCTCAGTCTAAATATCTACACAAGCAAAATATTTCATTAAAGTTTATGACAATTTAAATTGGTACTATACAGCTTGACTATTTGTGTTATATAAAGATAATAATAATAATAAACAATATTTTCAGTTAGAAGAAAATATATTCAACTAAAACACACCGATAATCATATTGAAACGTTTTATCCGAAATATGCGCTGTCCGAAATTTCTAAACATTATATACTTCTGAGAGATAATCAGGTAGCGCTATAGAAATTTGATAAAATCAAATTCACCAGTCTGAAGTTAGATGCGAATGATGATGTATCAAATAACAAATTTATTAGATTTACATGGACATGAAAATATTATAACATTTATTGTGATAAACTGAATTCGAAATGACACACCCACCTGAAGATTATACGAAGTCGTCTTTCATTGATACTTGTTCACAAGATGAAACTATTTGCATTTCGTTACAAAACAAAAAAACTCTGCCAATTTCCACATATCCTTTGTTTTTCCGTGTAAGTTTTACTTTCCCACCGGCATACAAGTATTACCCAATATAGATAAGCAATGTTGTTGATATTTGTTTGTACCCGGAAGTGCAAAATATCGTGAAATCTCGCAAGTCACATGACGAGACTTACATACCCTATTGTATCATAGTTTGGAGACCTTTCTGTTGAAAATGTGTCAGGGTTAAATCGTATACATATACATGCACAGTGCGTTAACTGGAGTGCGGGTATTAGTTACCCGCACTCCAGAGCATGCCCATTGATTGGCTCATTTTTGCTGGGGTTTACATATTGTGACGGCAGAGAAAGGGAAAGCGACAGAAATGTCATATCTAGATGTTCGTTAATTGGTTCATTTTTGCCGGGGTTTCATATTGTGATACAGGGAACGTGCTTTTATGTCTGACTATGATACAAAAGAGAAAGAACACCAAAACACTCGGCAATCTGATTTATACTCGGGGGCTACGCCCCCTCGTACAAATCAGATAGCCTCGTGTTTCGGTGCTCTTTCTATTACTTATCTGCATAGCTCTTTAGAGGTACAATGGCTTTGTGTTGCGTTCATTGAAAGTCGCCATTCCTTGTTTATCATATTTCGTGAGTTCATGTAATGCGTTTTTACGATACATAGGTGGAATATTTGTAATGCGTTTTTTCGATACATAAGTGGAATATTTGTTTTCCTGAGTGGAGCATAGCTCAAAATATCTTTGAGATGTCAGCATGAACTTTCATAGGTGGATAGATCTTATTGAGTAGGAATGCTGTGCACAAAATTGATAAATCTATCCGTTTAATTTTTTTAGTTATTGTCCTTTTTTTATTATTTTCATACTTTTTATCCGGAGCTTATCTCAAAAGGTATTGCAGGTGCGCTGTACTCCTTCTTAATGAGATCTATCCACCCCACCGTAGGTCTGCGTAGATCTCATTAAGAAGGAGTACAGCGCACACAAATGATAACGCTACAGTGCATAATTTTTCAGTTATTCCCCTTTGTTTTTTTTTATGCTTATCTATTTACTATATACGGTATTCAATGCTATGGAAGTTAAATAATGTTTTTTAATCACTTTCCGATGTTAAGGAAACTCATATTCAGCAATTCAAACATTTCCCTTTGTAGATGAAGAATATAAACTAACAAACACAATGTACATTGAATGACGGTACATTTGATCCTTCGCCAGGGCAGCAGTTCTTGCATCACGCTAAAAATGCTTGTATTGATATATGCACAATGTTAAGCGCCGACTAAACAAAGACCAATCAAAATTAATTTACTCAATTTTCAGACACTCTTGTAGCCATTGAATCGTGTTTGACAAGCTCAATCTCATAGACATTTTTAATTGAATGAAGGCGTGTTTCATAATAATTTATAATCTATAATTAATGCACACTGTTTCGAAAATATAGATTTTTACAGCAGAAGTTATTACACACTTATTTGTTTTTAACCGTTATAAAACTATTATTACACGTATGTATTGGATTATCTGTTACGATTTGTTTTGTTTATAACAACTGTGACATAAAAGTATTGTTTGGTTTTATTAACCTGTCAATTACATACTGATTACACGGTCGATGCACACGGTATATTAATCTTCGGTAGATGTTCGGTAAGTTCCGTGAGATGTACTTTGTACGATGGAATTTAATTTAATTTGTATCACTTAACTAGGTGTACGCAGCGTTATAGCGCAATAGGGTAAATCACGAGTTTATAATCTAAGTGCCCTACGTGTTTTAAGTTCGAGTCCGCGTTGGTCCATGTTTTTTTCTTATTAGATCTAATACTTTCAACATTATTGAACATTTATCTATGTATGATTATTTTATGTTGTTCGTTTTGTTTGATTATGTTTTACTAAATTTTGTTATATATATATACTTTTTAAATAACATGTTTTTTCAAAATTTATGTTTAAAACTAAAACGGATTAAAATCAATAATTGTCTTTTCAATGCCGTACAACACACTACAAATCTGTTCCATTATAATATTCTGCAAAAATAAAGAAAGAGTACAAAATCAAAGGCAATAGTAAGGATCGAACCACAGACCTCTCAATTATCAGGTATTCTCTTTACCGACTGTCCTATTGTGAATTAACGAAAACCTTTACATTTAGCTGACGTGACTTTCAATCCATGACTAATATCCTCCACATTAATTCTTGTAAACTTAGTTCTGGCTTCCAAAACTTTATAAGCCGCTTTTTAACATTTTTGTTTTTCATCTGATGCGGCATTAAAGTTTTGGATTAGACCCGTTACGAAACCTAACCAGAATAACATAAGTTGATTTATTCTTGTTTTTCACTTGCAAATACACTTGACCCAATCAATTCTTGTGCACTTTACGATAAAACAATCATTTTAATATCATTTTATACCAATTAAAGTATCAAAATATTAATACCGTCATTAAAATTGCATATTTAACTGTAAAATATCAATTTACGCCGACTACAGTTGGCCATGACATTCAGGTGCCACGCGATATCTCGTATGACGTCATTCGCGGGAACAGATTTGAATAGAGTCGTGTACTATATTTAGAACATTTTGTTGACATGATTTCGATACTTTTATTCAAGATAATGTTTTTATTTATTTTCATTAATTTTTTAGTACTTAAATACAATTGAATTGAATATAAAAGTCAGTAAATCACCTTTTTCAATATCTTTAAAAAAAGTAATTTATAAAAATATTGGAGGCACATGGGTTCGTAAAGGTCAATCTCGTAATCACGTGATCAAACATTTTGGCAATATGGCGGCCAAGTGCCGAAAATTTTACCTGTCGGAAACTATTAGGTAGTTTATGTTCGTAATAAGATTTTTATTTGACCATCCTTGGCTTATCAACAGATTATATATAGTTTTATCAAGGTATGCTTCACTTTACTTCATGGCATGTTCGATGAATAAATACGAGCGTGTCAGATTCCTGGCACGATTATTGGTGGACTTTCCCTATGGGGTTATGTTCAGCGTTCACGTCATGTCATAGTATATAAACGGGTACGCTGAAGACCTTAAGCTATCGTAAACTACACGGACCAAATCGAAGTGGGCTCGAATATGTAAATGAGTCCTATAATGTATTCATAATTGACAGGTCAATAAAATCAGACTATAAGTATTAGTTACCGTACGAGGAATATGTCTGCATAGTATTTACAGACCCGAGTGGTGACTTGAAGACCCAAGTGAGCTTGGTGATCGTTGTTTTTGAAAGAGTTACCGAGTGTGGTAGCTATTTTACCTACATGTTCTTTTTCTATCGAAATTGCAGTTTTAAATTAGTATTTATTGATATTATTTACAAGAAACCTATTATGTACTTAATCAGGTTCAAAAAAGCAGTGCAATGCCATTTAGGGTACTTACTTAGTGAGTGCGCTTGTAGGACCAACAGTTGAAGTTGTCTTTTTAAGGGGTCAATGGCGCAAGGGCACCCTATATTCAACACTGTAAAAACCTTATAGATATCAAAAATAGAATTATATAATGCTTATTTTTGGGAGCTTATTTTTCAAATAATCGTAACAGTATCGTGTTTAAGTGGACCTACGGGCCGTCCGTGGTCTAGTGGTTAAGGTCGTTGACTTCAAACCACTTGCCCCTCACCGCTGTGGGTTCGAATCCCGACAGGGACTTTGGATTCTTTAATGTGAGGAAGCTATCCAGCTAGCTTACGGAACGTCTGTGGTTCTAAACAGGTGCCCGATCGTGCCTATAATAATGCATGGAAGGGCACCTGAGGTCTTCCTCCACCAGTTAAGCTGGGACGACGCGATATGACCTATACTGTGTCGACGTGACGTAAAACCCAATCAAACAAAAAGTGAACCTACATCATTTCCATTCTGTTGCAAAATTGAGCATACATTGATGCATAAATAAAACCACCAACAAAATTTAAATCAAAAGTGTAGACATACTTATTTTCAAAAAGGATAATAAGAATGCCCTGTCTCCCTGAGCTGAGATATTCTGGAGGTTCAACGAATCTTGCAATTCACCCGAAACGCAATCATGAAATTGACCCGAACGAAAAAGGTTCTGACATATCTCCATGAACGTGCATTATTTTGGGAGCGGGACTATTTGTGTTTACAATTTTTCCATGGACCCCGATTATTATTAATTTATCCCTTCGATTTACAGCTAAGAATAAATTCGGAATCAAGAAATCCTTCCGATTTCTATTATGTAACGTCATATATTGGTTACCCATTCGGTGATTCGCAGCATGTCATATAAATGAATGAGAACGGGAACAAATTTCACTCTTAAGCCGCCGAGAGAGCAGTATAAAAGACAAAACCAAAAAAACCTTAAATTTATGTATTACATTTGTTTATTCTACAGGAAATTACAGATTTTTTTGTAGTACACAGTGGGTTATTTATGTATTTAATTGGTGTACATGAATTCATAAGCTTTAATAAATTAGATGACCTTAAAATTGTGAAAATCCGAAAAACTGTTTACATAAGTTGTTTTAGTCGAAATGCAACGGTCATTCATGTCGTGCTATGGTAATAAATAACGAACTGTATATTTTTGCAATAAACGAAATGCAAACATATTAAACAATAAATTGCACCGTATAGATTTGTCGAAAAATTTAAGAAGGCCATTTTTACGAATTGTTATATCATAGTATTGTCATTTTGAAACTGTCTTTTCCGTGAGTTCTTTCTGGTATAAAGCTCCTATGTTTTTCCACTCGAAAACGGGTTTGTAACAATACCTTGATATTTATTCACTGCTTCTCTGAGTCTTATCCTGGCTCCAAGTGTTGTTACACACGAATTCATTTAAACGTCTTCGTTTAATTGGTTTATCTCTTGTATGCCTACATTATTATATATAAGTTTCGATTAAATATCCTAGCCAAACAGACGACAAAATTGCCTCTATTTTTTAGCTCACCTGAGCAATGCTCAGGGTGGGCCATTGTGATGGCCCTGTGTCCGTCGTCGTGCGTCACGTATGTCGTCAACTTTTGAACATAAACAACATCTCCTCTGAAACCAATGACTGCACATCAACCAAACTTTACAGAAATGATCCTTAGGTGGTCCCTTTCAAAGTTGTTCAAATGGTTCCGGTCTGTTGCA